TGTCTAATCAGAGAATTCAAGACTTTCATTGTGATTAGAATACAGATATCAGTAAGCAAGTGGGTGAAACAGTTTTAGTGACGAGAAAAGGGAAAGTCACTCAACCTTAATTACAAATATAGCAGCTCCTTGGTTAATGCATTTAAGATAACTGGGACTCTCCCCTGCTGTTTAATCCAGATTCCACTGGAAAGGACAAATAGGAAGGCCTGGCTTAGTTATGATTGCTTTTGCTACGCCCAAAAGCTACAGAAGCAGAGACAAGTCCCAGCCTTTTTCTAGGTCCACATGGTCCCGCTTAGGCTCCTATTCTCTAGAAATGGCACTTTTCAGTCTGACATGCTTTCCTGACTGGAAGAAAATAGCAAGCGGTGGAAACAGCACAAAATGAAAAATATGTTCCTGGGAGAATGTTGCAAATAGGATCATCCTCCTTTACATATGTCACTCTAGGAAAACTGCCAAGAACTGCTCACTCCTCTAGACATACTTCCTGCAGATCCTCCAGACTCCTCCTTAAACACATGCCAGTATTCTCATTCTCCTTTAGTTTCAAATCTGATTTTGCCCCATGATTTCCAAGTTCATACTTACATTCTCAAAAATAAACAGCAAATACCTAGTATTTAATGACAACCCAGTCTATGTCTCACATCTGAACAAATAATCTCGTTTATATAATAGTATAATCGCAAGCCTTTAATAATGATGCTAAAACAAAATGATGTTTATTTTACTAAAACAAAATTTCTTTGCAAGTAAAAGATTTAACATAAATTCAAGATTAAAAAAATGTTTTTTATTCAATGAGCAGTTTCCTTTTTTTGTAGGCCTATCAAGGAAACATATACTAGAATGCTGAAATTGGCAGACCTCAAGATACATTTCATAGAAGTCAAAATATATTAAACAAAATGGATGTGTTTTGGCAAGTCCAAAATAAAATGTAGTTTTTCAAGTACTCTTAAATAAAAGCTTTTTTTCAGTGATTAAGTTTACCAAAAGAACTTTTCCTAATAAAGGAATTCTCCCAGTAAACTAAAAACCTGACATAGAGGTTTTGTACTTTTACAGAACTATATTTTCAGGCACCAACATTTCCATTAGGATACACTGAATGGGCAGCTACAGGGCAAGAAGCAAAGAAAGCAAATGAGAAGCTATTTATAAATGAAGACAAATCTACTGAAATTTAAAAATAAACTTAATTAACCAGTGTTAATTGAACTTCCAATTTTTAAAATCATTTACCTGAATGAATTTATGTAAAATTGAGTCTCAACTGTACAGTTAGGAATGCACAGTTCTTTTGGGATTTAAAAGCCACCAGTTATTCAACTACAGATTAACAAATCTCACAGTAAAAGGAGTTGAGCAATCAGAGCTATTCATAGATAAGTATGATTAAATTATGGGTGAATAACAAGTCAACTGAATAAAGTCCATTTATTAAAAAGCAAGTAAGTAATCAAACTGGACAATGTTCACAATTATGAAGCATGACCTTATATATTTTTCTCACACTCAAGTATTAAGATTCAACATTCCTCCATCAGTTGGTGAAAAATTAAAATATCTATACAAAAGTGCCCACCAAATGTACACTATTCTAAAGAAAATCCATTTTGGTGACAAGGATATTCACTTTAAGTCAACGCACGAAATTCAAAAACCTTCATCTGCAGAACCTTTGTCGCCAAAAATTAATAAATTTGTTTTGTGAAAAGGGTGCTTATGTTTTTCAACTCAAACATGCAATGAATATGTTTTGCAATCTTCCAGTCAAAAATAAAAATGCTAACAAAATATAAAAATTTGAAACAGCTGAAACTGATTTCAGAGAGAGAAAAAAATTATCTAAAAATTCTGATGCAAAGCTAAACCAATAGCTTATTCACAGTTCCATGAAACATTAATGAAAGGGTTATATAAATCTCCTGGATTAAAGATTTTAAAGAGAGCTGCAAGAATCTTTCAACTTTCAATACTGCTTTCTCTGTTCTTATACCCATAAAAATAAGACATAAATCAACTCTTTCTAAACATAAGCCATCTAATTTTCAATAGAAATTAAACCAAGAGCAGCACAAAATAGACATATTCTCAATACAATTTAATGTCACAGACTACATTTAGGCCCTTCAAACAAGTTAAATTTACAATATATACCACATCCAGTTCACTCTCAAGGGAGAAAAACACCAAAACAAAAGCTCCGGCTTAATAAACTGTTTACTTAGTTGTTATGCATCTATCCCTGGTGCATTTTATCATCAAGTATTATCATCATTTCTCCCCTCTTCAAAAAAAATCTATAAATCTAAAACACAATTTAATCTGGTTCCTTTAAAAATGCTTTTGTAGTATGTGTTATATTAGTGCAAGGCCATGAAAAGCTTCAAAATTACTTTCTAAAAACAAAATATCTTTTTTTAAAATGTGTCTAATTGGGTTTTTACTTGTTTTCTGTACATGAAATGTTCTCAAACCAGTCTGTTTCGGTGTCAGTTATTTACAGCCAATATACTGTGTATAATTAGGTTATTGACAGACAATGCTTTACAGTATGGGGTATACAAGGGTACACAAGAAGGCACAAGTAAAACAAAAGTGTAGCATATTAGAAACACCACTCAAGTTCATTTCTTTGCCTCGAATTCCCTTTTTCAGGCCAATGATTCGCTATATCTAAAATGAGGCACCACAAAATATGTGATAAGGCAAACATGAGAGAAACCAAATCAGAAACTGAAGAAATTTAATAGACCTAGCACCACCTGAGAAAGAATTACCATGGGGAAAAATAAATAAATAAACCCAGTCCCTTGCTTTCCCTACTAAAAGACTGCTTTCGCTGTGTTACAGGCTCAAAAGTTTTTCAAACTCTTTGACTGTAAGTACACACATGTACGAGAAAACTTTCCCAAAACAACACTTCTCCTTACCTAGTGCACCACCAGTCAGTTCTGTTCTATTCTCTTTATTCACAATGCTGGTGGTAACTGATACTATAAATTAATCAAACATGATCCACAGTTTGAAAAAGAAAGGTTTAAAACAGGATATTCCTTATATTAGGATCTTTTTGGCAATTTGCCTACCTGTCTCCAGCAATGTGAAAAGGTATTTTAAGGTTGCTATACTATTACTGTTTTCATTAAAGGAAGTGGTTTGTAAAGTGTGGTTTGTTAACAAAAGCATCACCTGCGAGAAATGCAGTCTCAAGTCGCACCCCATACCTACTCAATCAGAAACTGTAAGTGGGATGAGCATTCACCAGCCCTCCAGGTGATTCTGATGCCAGCTAAAGCTTACAAACCACTAATTAAAGAATTCAGGTCTGGTAGAGGAAGGTGGGGGAGGGTCCAAAGGTCTAGAGTAAAGCACTATGGATGCTTAAATGGTAACAGCTGAGAAGCTGTGAACCTAGTCCCCTAAATCATATGCAGTATTCTGAACCAATGCTACCTCAATAAACGGGGGGAGGAACCCCAGGTCACCCTACTTTCTATTTAACCACGCAGTACACAGTGCTTACTCTGATCCAGTCACTACTCTAAAGCTCCACAAATTTTAACTCAAGTCAAAAACAACTCTTAAGAACCATCACATCCCTACTATACAAATGAGGAAACTTTTGCACAGAGAGATGAAATTCTCCCAGCTGTGGTGGAACTAGAATTCAAACACAAATTTGGCGAGGGTGTGGTAATCTCTTCCTGACTCTGCTCAGGTCCGCAGTCCTACTCCTTTACTTCAGCTATTCCTCCCCTTTTCCCTTTCCAAATGCCTATCCTGTCGCTGTCCTTATTTTCTAACATCAAGGCAGTCTTCCTAAAATAAATGTCCAAAGCACCAGAATGCAATTCACTTCATCTCGCTTTTAGGGCCTTTCACCTGGTGCTAGATGGCATCTTGGCATTATGAAGTCCTTAGAATCCATTACGGCCCCACTGAATTTTTCGTATCTGCTATTCAGGCCAGTTTCCACAAGAACCCTACTCTTTCTGGGCAACTTTCTCGCTCCCCCTACTGCACCTACCCACTCTGCCTTCCTGCAAGGAAATTCTTTCTCCCCGGCCCAACCCGATGTCATTTTGCTTGATTCCTCTCCAGGATATTTCCACTTCCCAATTGGCCCCTTACCCTAGTCTCAAACCTGAGCTACTCCTGGAGGAGTTTTTCTCTTGCCCCCTGGGGAGTCTCAGACCCCCCCACCACCCCCCAAAAGCTCCCAGTGAAGTCTTGGGTCTCCGAGCCCAGACCAGCGGCGGCGGACGAGCAGCCACGGCTGCTCCCCACTCTGGTCTCCGCGGGTCCCACCCGCCCAAGACCCCAGGTCCTCACCTCCGCGGGCGCCCTCCTCCCGGGGTCGGCCGCCTTTCTCAGGGGGGTCCCCAGGCCCTCCTGGCCCTTCCTCAGACGCCCTCGCTCAGACCCAGGCCGCTCCCTGTCATGGGAGACCCGGGACGCCCTCGCTCTTCCCGCCGCCCTTCTCGCCCCGACCCCGGCCACTCCCAGTTCCCCGGCCCCCCAGCTCGCCCCGCTCGGGCCGCTCCCAGGGTTCCCCGTCTCCCTCGCACCCAAGCTGCACCGGGGACCCTCGGGCGCCCTCGCACCAGGTCGTCAACGGTCACTCCGGGTCATTCCTTCACCTCTCCGGGACCCCGGCCGCGTCCGTCTCCCCAGAGAGCTACCCCGAACACACAGGTCGCCCTCCGCGCCCCACGCCCGAGCAGCAAGACGCCCCACGGGGCCGCCAGCCGGGCCCGCCCGGGGCCAGCCCCGTCCACCTCGGCGGCGCGACTCCGCGGCCGGCACCGGGCCGGTCTCCCACCAGCCCAGTCAGCGCGAACTCGCCGCCGCCCCCGCCCTGGCCCCGGCCCGACCCGGCCCGAAGTCCGGGCCCCCTTCCGCCCGCCTCCGCCTCCGGAGCGCCGGGATGGAGGTTCCGCCCCGCGACGGCCCCCCGGACTCAGGCTCGCTTCGCCCGCACTCACCTGCCGCTGCCCACGACCAACTCCACAGCCACTGCCTCTACCTCGGCCGCCAGCAGCCCCGAGCACCACCACCTCCCCCATGACAACAGGCCCGCCCTGTTTCAGACTTCCTCCCTCTCCATTGGATGCTGGGCAGCGACTCTCTGCTCTGATTGGTTCAGCTTTCCCCCCCGTCATGGCTTCTCTACCGCCCCTTTTCCTGGACCCAGTATTAGCCCCCGCCCGGACCTGGCGCGTCCTGACAAAACTTTAGTTGTAATTGGTTGATGGTTGGTCAGTTCGAAGTTTTGATAGGCTGCTGAAAGTGTCTGTTAAGTAAACTGGCAAGCGCTGTGACGGCCACGGTTGGTTCAAGCCTGGGCACAGTTTGGTTGCAGAGTAGAGAGCTGGAAAGGGGCAGAAGCTCTACTCCGAGGTTACTGGGGAAGGGTTAGCGCTTTGTTGTAGAATTCACTCTTAAAACTCATCGCCTCTTCCAGGTCGCTTCCTATAAAGAGTGGCTAGTCCCTGCTAGCTTACTCATAAGGTAGTAGTTACAAAACACCAACAATCAGGAGCTGTGTTTAAGAAGTATTTCCAAATCCCCTGATCTGGAACTTATTTTTATGTGAAATGAAAATTTCCTCCTTTATTTTCTTGAAGACCTAATGTGCCCAGTTTCCTTGAAGTCCTTTCCAGAAATCTCCATGCTAAAGGGCAAAGTACAACCGTAGAAATCATTCGTCTTCGGTTGCAATTATAAGCCTCGTTAATAAACTGAAGTGGCGTGTTGAGAGTTCTCCAGTTCCCAGGTTCACCCCCGACTGGCTCCAGCGAAATGACCATGCAGCCATCAGCTAGTTGAGACTAAATGGGGCACGGTTTACCCTTGTGGTGAGAATTCCGTTCTCCCCACCACCCAATTTGATTTTTATGTTCAGCGTTCTTAAATAACCCTACTAGATGTGTGTCAGATACTTAAAATGCTTGTCTTTTTTCTAAACCTCTCTTAGCACTCTAAATTAGAACCATTGAATGAATTGCAGTTCTTTTCTCACGTTGGCACAATGCACCAGAATAAATGATTGCATTTTTTAAAAATTCATTTGGGTACAAATCACAGTAGGCATTTTTGAAAAATCTGGTGTTGCTATAAAAACTCTTGTGCTCCTAGAAATATACCCATCATTAGCTTTTTGTTTTTCATTTTTCATTTCCACCCACTTTTCCTGCTCCTGCATAACAAAATGCTGGCCTAATTACTCTTCCAATTTCTCAATCAGATTTATATGTAGTTTCCTCACAATTCCACCAATGGGCCATGAAACATACATTCAGGAATGGACTGGGACAGGTCAAGGAGGTATTCCCCTCACAAGCATTGCTTTATGTTTGGGAACTTCCTGTGGTACCAAGACTCTGGACTAAGAAAGTTTTATGCTTTGCCTTTTCTTCTTCCTGCTAACTTTGTTTCATATATCTTCTATTAGCCCTTCTGTTCTTTGCAAAACAAATTCCAAGGAGTCTAAGACTAAATTATTCATTATCCAGAAAAATAACCTATTTTCTAGCCTGTATTTTTAGTTATTTGAATAAACTGCATACCTCTATAACCAAACTAAGCGGAAATTATTTCTCCAGTAACTATACATAACAATAAGGTGTCTTTTCCTGGTTATTTTCCGGAACTTTCCTCCCCCTTCTCTTATCCTCACCTTCCAATTTAGAAATAACCTCCCCTTCAATTCAATGACTCATAAAAAGCCTCTAAAAGGAAAGTGGAAAAGCCAAAATAACTTCAGGGATGTCTGAATCATTTAGTTAAAGGAAAGCTAGGACATTGACCATGATAAGATAGAAACTAAGACAAAAGGCAAGCCTAAGCAAACATCCCATAACAAATGAAGTAACATGCAAATGTGAAGATGCCACAGTGAGCTGGAGGTATCAGTGTGTCCTTTTAGAGCCTTTTAATATATTACCAGCAGTTTTTTTCCTCTCTAGTCTTGGCAGTGTGCCCTACCTACCAATTTTAGAGCAAGTTAGGAAGGCAATTAATGTCCTGGCAGATAGGAAATAATAACGTCATAGGAGGGCCTGGCCATTATTATGGTACTTTGGGTAATAATGGCTTTTGCACAGCCATAGTGACTAGGTGCCACAGAGAACATAAAATTAGGCCAGCTCTCACTAAGAGAACTTGCCATCTAAGTAAAGGAACTGCACAAAATTACTATCACAAAGCTAGAAAAATTGCTACAAAGATCAGCTATCCATTCTATTTCATACACTAAAACAATAAAAGTATTCAGAACTGGTTTTGCTCATATATGCTTTTACCACTCCTATTCCCTGTGAAAACCAGTCAAGAAATGTAAAATAGACATGAACAACCCAGTAAGAAGAGAGAAAATCTTGAGGAAACATTCTTTGATCCAGAAGAAGACTGTTATGTTACTGAAGCCCAAACAGTGCTGGAAAGGTTATTGCTTATACTTGATGTTTTGATTTTGTATGCACAAGTAATCTTATAACATAATTTCTCCATCCAGCTTCTCTTTTCTTTCTGAGTTATATGCTTCTCCACCACTCTCACAGTCCCCTCTTAGAAAGCAAGAACACTGGAGTCTGTGAGTCTGCAGTTTTGTGTTGTGTGGCTGACTGTGGAGGTGGTGTAGATGCTATCTGTTACAGTCACTTGAGCAAGACCAGGATAGCAGGTATATTGAAGGCAAAAATAGCCTTTCTAAATCCTGATTAAATGGAAATGAAGGATGCAGAATGCTGTCCCAACATCTAAGGAGTAGTATGGTTTGCCTTGGGCTTCAGTGTATACTGATGAAACATTTTGCTCTTTTATTTGTTACCCCCGCTCCCTTTTTATCATATCACTTTTCAAAGGAGCAGAATCCAAGTCTTCTTTCATTTCCGTTTTGTTCCCAGGAGGCAGTCTCACCAGGGAAAACCTCCTTTGTTTGTTTGGCTTTTTGTTTGTTTATTTCCCCCTGAATTCTACACACAATTCCAAATGAATTAGAGACACAAACACTGGTAAAGAAGAAAATCACCCCCATACATCAGAACTGCCTGCTGCTAGCTGTTGGAGGTAAGCCAAGATATTTGATAAAGAGTGGTTCCCTGAATTAGGGATCCCTGATGGTAGATGCTGACAGGTATGAAGGGGATCAGTGAGGAAGGGGGAGAGAAACAGACAGACAGACAGACAGATGTGGGCTGCAGAGAAGAGGGTAAGGAAAGCTAGACAGAGTCAAGAGGCCACAATCAGAGTGCTGACCCAGCTTAGAGTCCTGCCCCCCACTCCCTGGCTGTGGACTTTAACCAGGTTGCACAATCACACCAACAAAGTACAGCCTCTGCCACTGGTTGAAAGGGAAACAGGGGCAGAGCTTTAGCCTGTGGGACCTTTACTCTACTACCACCTGGAAATCCTCCTTGACCTCAAAGGCTGCTATTCAGACATCAGGGCAAAGCTGACGAGGAAGGACAGATCCATGCAGCCAGCCAAGTATATCTTCGTTGATTCATAAAGGTGACCATAGGCATGAAGCTCTGGATGAACAAAGAGAGACTCTCTGGGAAAAGATGTTTTACCATCCCATATTGGGGAGCTTCCAACACAGGGAAGTGCCAAGGTGCTGTCAATGCTGAAACAAAACAGTGTGGTTTCAAAGTTCAAAGCTCTGTTCATGGATGGGATTTAAAAAAAAAAAAAAAGTCAGTGGATGAGGGTGTCCTCTGGGGCAGAACCATTTGTTTTCTTCCAATTCTAGGGTTTGTGTGATTTTTGAATAGCATACTGTATCTTTTCATTACTCAGTGTGTGCATTTTCATCCTCAAGAAAAATGTGTCTACCCTTCCACTCATCTTGTATATTCTAGGTAGATGGCCTGAGTGCTTGTAAAATGGATGAGCTGCGGCTCTTAGCTCTGCCATTATGCTATTGAATGGAGCCCTTGGTTACTATCACCAGATCTAAGGGTGGACCAGCCATTCTTCTGCAGCAGGGAGTGGGCCACTCAAAGCACTTAGTGCCATTTAACTTTTGTCCATCCCTGTTTTATATACACACAAAGAGTTTCCTGGAAACATGGCTGAACTCCAAGGATTTCAGAGAGTAGAATGTCTCCTAGAACTCCAATTCCCCAATCACTCAGAATCTCATAAGAAAGTAGACTTGAACTCACTAATCATTGACTTAGCTAGGTGACACTGGGAAAGCTGATTCATCTTCCTGAGCTTCGGTTTCTTCACACACAAAGTGGGATATGTATTATATATATCTATTACTGTATAATAAATTACTTCCAAAAGTCAGTAGTTTAAGACAATCTCAGTTGACTATCTCAGTTTCTTTTCTTTTTAAAGATTTATTTATTCATGCATACAAGAACCGGGGTACAGGCCAGATGTGCGGGAGGATGAGAGGATTCACCAGAGACAGAGCAGGGAACAGAACAGGCAGACTGACTGAAATACACTGCTGAGGGGAGCAGCAGATGAGAGAAGAGAAGTCTACTGTGCCATGTGGGTATCTCCATGGCCGGTGGGGATCGAACCCCCGCTGCAGAGGCTGTGGACAGCTTCACAGTGCTGCGCTCAACCCTGCGCCACCAGGGAGGATCTATCTCAGTTTTTGAGGGTCACATCCTGGTGTAAGTTAGCTGGGCTATCTCTCTCTGGGTCTCTCACAAGACTGAAGTCATCTCAAAATGAAGGTCTTCCAGAAACCAGTTGAGATGAATCTACTTTCTAGCAGGGTCGTTGTTGGCAGCATTCAGTAGTGCATAGTCTTTAAATTAAGGCCTTAGATCCTCTTGAGCTATTATTACCTAAAGATCTCCCTCAGAATCTTGCCTTGTAAGTCTCTCACAGGGCAGTTCAAAACATGGTGGCCTATCTTCTCAGAGGAAGAGAGAGGGCAAGAGAAATTCTTCTCTAGCTAGACTTCTGCTACCAAGACAGAAGTCAGTCTTTTTTTCTTAAAAGATTTTTTTTAAGATTTATTTATTTATACAATAACTGGGGTACAGTCAGAGGCACAGGAGGGTGAGAGAATTCACCAGAGACAGAGCGGGGAGCAGAACA